TGAGGCGCCGGCCGTCCCGCTTCCGTGCCGCCTCGCCCCCCCACGCCTTTGTCTCACCCGCCCCGCGCCCCGAGGTTTCCTGCGCTGCCGGGCCGTGAGGGACCGCGAAGGTGCGGCGCCCCCGCCGGCGTTTGGAGGGCTTGGAGCTCCGCGTCCTGGGCGTGGGGGTGGTTTTACCCGCGCGGTCAAAGCCGCTCCTCCTCTCGATCGTGCTCAGGGGTCTAGAAGTCTGGGCTCCGCTGAGTGTCGCCGCCGCCCTCCGCTGCGCCGAGGCCTTCGACACCCCCGGTCTGCCACCGTCTGGGGCAAAAAAGTGTCCGCAGGAGCGGTTCTGTTTGCGCAAAGAAGACATCCATTCAGATGCTCTTCGTGGGGAAGATAGAGGGTTCGGATCCTCAGCCTGGTGGGAAGTTACGGAGACTGTCCTAGTATTGCAAGTACAGAAACCGATATATGTGTTCTTTAGAAGTGTAGTCTATTAAACAACAGAATAATTTAAAAAGGTTTCTTAGGACATAATGTTTGCAGTACATAATGATTACGTTCCTCGTGGAGTTGGTCCATTACAGAACATCCCCTAACCCCCCCTCCATCTTTGATCTCTTCCCTTTTGCAAAATCTCTTTCTCTTTATTAGCGTATTTATTTGTGGTTTTAAAAAACCTTTGGGGGTTGCCTGCTGAGGATAGAACCCAGGGCCTCAGGCATGCTAGGAAAACTTTCTGCCATGGAGGTACACCTCCAACCCAGATTGTTTTCACATCTAGATTTAAATTATTCTTAAATGGGCATAACACGAAAGAGTATTTTCGAAATATACATAAGTTTTTAAGTGTGTGATGTGGACAGTGTTTTAGAATTTTAATAGACTCTTTAAAAAAACAAGCCAGGGATATAGCTCAGTGGCACAGTCACTGCTTGGCAAGCACAAGGTTCTGAGTTCAATTTCCGGTACCAAAAATAAACCAAAAAGAAACATCCAGAGAAGGTCCTTAGCCTAAAGCCGGTTTTAGACTACTTTGTGCTGAGGTTCACACAAATTACAAGGGATTCCCCACTTCACAAACCACGTGTTATGCGAAGTGATGCATACTGTGCATATAATGGAGAGCGGTGCCTCTTCACTAGTGAGAAACCAGCGCCTTTAAGAATGTTCATTGGGAATTGATTAACCTGGCAGGAAGCGATTCCCACTTATTTTGGCACGATGTAAACACTTAATCATTTAAATGAGCTGTGGATCTTCAGTTTGGAGTGGGTCTTAAAAGATACAATCAGTCTCTAAGTTTTGTGACTTCTTAATTCAGCAGACATTTTTGGCAATAGGTACCTGACTTGTTGGTCACTTCTAGGAATCAGAAACACGTCCCTGCACAGAAGAGAACCCACAGTCCTCTGGGAGAAAGGGAAGAATAAACAGAAATTTCTCAGAGCCTTTCCAGCATTCTTCCAAGACCTTTTCCAGGCCTTCTCTCCAAAGGTTTTCATCAGACTCTGTCAGGGATATGTGGAAGGACATTACTTTTGGATTCATTCAATTTTATCACCTGACTGCGATAACCAGCTCTTTCTTTAAAATTAACAGTACATTTTAGGTGTACATAAAGATCACATTCATTATAGAAAGTGATGACCAACTCTTTAAAAAAGAGTGAAGTACTTTTTCCTCTTGATACAGTTATAGCTATTAAACTAATTACTGGGAATTTTTTTATGCCAGTAGTGACCAAAGTAGAAAGGGGGAAGTAATAGTAATAATAAATTGTTGCACATGTTGGATGGCAGACAGTGTGCTGGCTCTTTCTAGTATTATTTAGTTCTCAAAATAGTCCTGAACGTAGGTATTTTCCTTAGAACTGAGACAGTTGAAGCCCCAGGTTGTCCTGCCTAGAGTATTAAAGCTGGATAAGTGTCTATAACTCATTCTATTCAATTTAGTACAGCTTACTTCATTGAGATATTAGTATCTTTTTATTTATCATATTAATCTTACTTTTTGTGTGGGGCTTTTACACGGGGCTATATCCCCAGCCTTTTTTTTTTTTTTTTTTTTTTGAGGCAGGCTCTTGCTAAGTTACCCAGGCTGGACTCAAACTGGCATTTCCCTACCACACTAATCTTTATGAATCTGCTTAATCCAGGAGCTCAGGAATAGTAATGCTATAACTACAAACATTATATATTCCTGTGTGCCAGGTAATACTTGCCACCCAGAGTGCCCTCAGAAGTATGTGGGCTGGCTGCTATTCTTACCTTTGTTTGACAGATGAGAAAATCGAAGCACAGATATCATCTGAACCAGATAATACCTTAAATAGTAAAACTGAGTGCAGCCGTGGACCGTCTGCCTCTGCAATCTGCGCACACCACCATCACAGTGCACTGACCCTTCAGTAAGGTATGTCTCTGGGTGCTGAGCAGCTGTGATTTTAGAATGTTTAGTATCTTTCTGTGTCTTTTGTAGTGTTCATACAGACACACAGAGGACAGCTATAATGTCTGCCACCTGATATGCTACATTGCTGTCTTCTGCAAACAGTTACATAGTAGTAATCATAGTTAGGTTGAGAGCTTACAACATTCCAACCCCCGAGCAGTGTTCTGAACACCTCAGTCCTCAGCACAGTCCTAGAAAATAGCTACTGTTACTGTACACTGTATCTCTTTTGTGAGGTACTTTCAGTGTCTTCAGAGTGATTTTACAAAGTAATTCCTTTGATTCTCTGCATGCTGTCAGTCAGAGGTGTTTTCATCATTTTCCTCACCTAACTTTCATCCCTGCAGTTCCACAACGCTGGGTGACTTCCCTTGATTAGTGTGTGATAGTGCTGAAATGCAAACCAGAGCTTCAGATGCCTGTGTATTGGCAGGTGGGCAGTGGGTGAGGAATGATGGCTGAGGACAGGGGGTACACTGTTTTTCCCCCGCTGTATTGGTCTGTCAGTGGATCTTTGTACTTTTTGTCCTAAAATAGGCCATATTTTCCCATCAGAACAGCTTACATTTGGAGATTTTGTCCCCAACCAAGAATTCAGTGTTAGTTAAATCATTGATGTAACTAGCCAGAGACATTTGTCATTATTTTCATCTGTAAACTTACGTTCCAACTTCAGATATGGTACCTGGCACATACTGGGGACTTAGTAAATGTCTGAACCAAATAAGTGTCTTTAAAAAAGGTTCCTAAAATAAAATAAGTTTCTTTTTTTTTTTTTTTGAGACAAGGTCTCACTATGTAGTTCAGACCAGGCTTGAACTCACTGTGTAGCCCAGACGGGCCTCAACTCGTGGCAGTCCTCCTGCCTCAGCCTCCCAAGTGCTGGGATTAGAGGCATGTGCCACCATGCCCAGCTGTAATATTTTAAGTTTCAATGGGTAGCTTCTTTTTTTTTTTGAGACAGGGTCTCACTCTGCAGGCTAACCTTGAGCTCACTTTGTAGCCCAGGCTGGCCTTGAACTTGAAATGATCTTCAGCCTCCTGAGGCCTTGAACTTGAACTCATCTTCAGCCTCCTGAGTACTGGGATTACAGGCATGTGCCACCACGCCTGGCTGGGTAGCTTCTGTTTTGTCTCGGGTACCACAGCATTTTCCCTTCACTACATCACAAGCAGAAGCTTTCAGAATTGTTTCATTGAAACAAAACTAACTTCCCAATCTATTAGGCCCTGCTTCCCCAACCATTATTCTTCCTAACCCTTATCTTCCTTATACATTACCTCTCACATAGAATGGAAACCATATGGGTTTGAGTCATTTTTGCCTTAGTTCGAATCCTTACTCTATCATCTTTTTTTTTTAGCTCTGTGAACTTGAACAAATTACTTAATTTCTCTGAACCAGTTTCTTCATCTTGTGAAGTGGGAAGAGCACCTACCTATTTTATAGGAATGTGTTAAGAATTTATTGAAATAAAAGGAACCCTTCTTCACTGCTGGTGGGAGTGTAGACTGGTACAACCACTGTGGAATTCAGTTTGGAGATTTCTCAAAAACTAGGACTAGAGGTCCCATTCAACCCAGCTATTCCCCTTCTGGGTATTTTTCCAGAAAAATTGAAAACATCATACCACAGCGATATATGTGCACTCACGTTTATAGCAGCGCAATTTGTAACAGCTAAATCTTCGAAACAACCCCAATGCCCATCAATCGAGGAATGGATAAAAAAGATGTGGTATTTTTATACAGTGGAGGACTATTCAGGTATAAAGATAAACTCAAGGCTTTTATAGCTAAATGGATGCAACTTGAGAGCATACTCATAAGTGAAATAAATCAGACTCCCATGTGTAAATATCATGTTGGTCTCCCTAGTGTAAGAACCTGAAAGAGTAAATAAAACCCAAAAGGTACAATATCTATTGTGAAAGGGAAAGAAACTACTCAAAAGGAAAGAACAACTGGGATTGGGGAAAGGAGAAAAGAAAGAAAGAAGGGAAAAAATATATGTATATACATATATATATACACACACACAAGATAGCTAAGATAATTGTACTACTAGTTTCTATTGGTTTGTTGAAAGGAACAGTTAGTGTTTATATTGTTTCATCAATTTTGCATGCCTATATCTGATAATCTGAACAACTACTTTGAAGATAACAATGTGCAATATAACAACCATTGCTAATTTCCTATCATCTTGCTTTGAAATTCTGTATTGTTTTTATTCATTTTTTTCTTATTTTTTATTCTCTTTAAAATAAAAGAGAATTTATTGAAATAACCATGTAAAGAGCAGAGTTCCAGCTCCTAGTAGACTCTCAGTAGGGAATAGCTGTTCCATTTCCTCTTTTGTCCTCCTTGCCTCCCTTCTGCTTTGGCCCTTGGTCAGGTAGTGTTATGTTTAAGTGACCCTTTTTTCTGCCAGGTATTCCTGAAATACAGGACACATAGCATGGTCACAGTAAGGACTTTCATGTCCCTAGTGCACAGTACACAGTTGGGCTCACAGTGTTGTCAAACTGAGTATGGAAAAACCACCCAGAGCCTCTGTGTGTGCATTATTTTATAGCCTGCTGGGTTTGGCCGCCCTTGAGGAAGATGGGAAGCAGTGAGTGTGTTATTCAGGGGATTCGGAATTACCCTGGGGGTTGTGATGAGAGGAGAGCATGGCGGGGGCACCAAGCAAGGAAGCTACAAAGCCTCCACTCTGAGGAGTGGGCGTATCTGTGGAGTACCTTGGCCTTTTATGTACGTCAGGGTGTGTGTTTGTGTGTGGAAGTATTCGACCTTACCAGCCAGTTGTCACATTGCTTCTGAAGACAAAAAAGAACTTGCAAGGAAAAGTTGTTTCAGACTTGTGAACATGCCGAGCATGGTGGCACACACCTGTAATCCCAGCACTCGGGAAGCCGAGGCAGGAGGATCACCTGGAGTTCAAGGCCAACGTGGGCTACATAATGAGTTCAGGGGAAGCCTGAACTGCATGGAGACTTTGGTTCAAGAAAAAAAAAAAAAAAGGCAGGGTGGACATAATAGTCATTGCAGTTGTTGATATAATCTCTCTGTCATTTATAATTAATAACCACAAGATACAATAACTGTTATTCTTAGCCTAAATTGTCAGCTTAACTTTGTTTTAAGTTTCATTTATTGAGTTAATAAAAAGTCAGTATGCTTAATTATTATTATTGATTATGACATTATTATTATGACATTATTATTAATTATTGATTATGACATGGACATTTACTCCCAGAAAAAAATAAAGGGAATATTGCTTACGAATAAAATGAAATTATAATTCTTTTAAACTGCAATATATGCATGCTTTCACAGTTTATTTACTCCATTTATAAATTGCTAATTAATATAGCATTCTTTTTTATTTTAAAGAGAGTAGTAAAAAAAGAACAATAGGGGCTGGGGATTTAGCTCAGCGGCACAGCGCCTGCCTGGCAAGCGCAAGGTCGTGAGTTCGGTTCCCGGTACTGGAAAACCCTCCCCGCCCCCCTACAAAAAAGAACAATAGCAAAATACAGACAAAACAAAGCAAGAACATTAAAAATGATACAGTGTTTCAAGCCAAATGATAGGAATTAACAGTGGTGGTTATATTACATATTGTTATCTTCAGCGAAGTTGCTCAGAAACCATTAAGGAGAGTAAGAAAATCATAGTTTATAAAAACCTTAGAGACAATACAGAGTTTTGCTAGACAAGATGGTAGGAATTCACTAATGGTTGTTACATATTACATATTATTGCCTTCAGATCAGTTGCTCAGACTATCAGATATAAGCATGCAAAATTGGTCAAAATGTAGAAAAAAATTTAAGCATTAACTGTTCCTTTCAACAAACCACCAGACATCAGCAGTACAGTTATCCCAGCTATCTATCTATTTATTTATTTATTTTGCCTTAGTTATTTTTCTTCTTTCCCTCATTCCAGTTGTTCCTTCCTTTGAGCAGTTTCTTTCCCTTTCACAATATCTATTGTACATTTTGGGTTTTATTTACTCTTTCATGTTCTTACACTAGGGAGACAATATGATGTTTACACATGTGGGTCCGATTTATTTCACTTATGAGTATGATCTCTAGTTGTATCCATTTACCTACAAAAGCCTTGAGTTTATCTTTTTTATAGCTGAGTAATACTCCATTGAATAGAAATACCACATCTTCTTTATCCATTCCTCAGTTGAAGGGCATTTGGGTTGTTTCCAAGATTTAGCTATGACAAATTGCACTGCTATAAACAGGGGTGCACATACATCACTGTGGTATGATGTCTTTAATTCTTCTGGAAAAATACCCAGGAGGGGAACAGCTGGGTTGAATGGGACCTCTAGTCCTAGTTTTTCAGAAATCTCCAAACTGTTTTCCACAGTGGTTTCACCCATCTGTTCTCTCACCAGCAGTGGGAAAGTGTTCCTTTTTCCCCATAGCCTTTCCAGCATTTGTCATTGGTTGGTTTCTTAATGATAACCATTCTTTCTGGGGTAAGATGGAATCTCAGTGTTTTAATTTGCATTTCTCAAATGATTAATGATGTTGAACATTTTTTCATATATTTATTTGCCATTAGTATTTCTTCATCTGAGAAGTGTGTGCTAATTAATATATAAATCAGACACACTTAAGGTTTTTTGGAGGTTGGAGTACCAGGAATCAAACTCAGGGCCTCATGTTTGCCAGAAAGGTGCTGTACTACTGAGCTAAATCCCTGGCCCCAAGGATTTTCTTTTTAGGAAATTAAATTGTATTCACTTCTCTGCCAACATTTTATTATGAAAAAAAAATTTTTTTTTAAGACAGAGTTTCACTTTGTAGTGCAGGCTGGCCTTTAACTCACTATGTAGCCCAGGCTAGCCTCAAACTTGCAGCAGTCCTCTTGCCTCAGCCCCACCCCACCACCCGGGTGCTAGAATTACAGGCATGCACCACCATGCTCAGCATTATGAAAAATTTTGGACATATATCAAAGTAAGAAAGAAGTTGAAATATCTGTATACCCACCACCTAGATTCTGCCATTAGTATTATATTTATTTTACTTTTAATGGCTATCAAGTAAAAATATTCATAATAGAAGTATTTTATATTTGAAGAGTTTGGCCTGAATGTTCTGTGTCTATTTTCGGTCAATTTTATTTTTTCTTTACATAGTATTACATAATTTTTAGGTATAAATTATAATTAATCTATCATGTTCTGAAAACATTTGGATTTCAAATGTAAGTAAAGCTACTTTTTCCTCCCTACCCCTAGCTCCAAAAGATGAGTCGTGGATACTCAGAAAACAACAATTTCCTGAACAATAACAACCAAATGGTATTGGACATGATCCTTTATCCATTAATTGGGATCCCTCAGACCATCAACTGGGAAAGCATTGCAAGACTTGTGCCTGGACTAACACCCAAAGAGGTAAATAACAGTTCCCCAGTTACTTTCTGAAAACAAAAGAACAGAAAAAGTGATCAGTTTAAAGAAACAACAGGCTGGGCATAGTGGCACATGCCTGTAATCCTAGCACTTGGGAGGCTGAGGCAGTAGGATCACTACAAGCTTGAAGCCAGCCTGGGCTACATAGTAAGTTCAAGGCCAGCCTGAATTAGAGAGCAAGACTTTGCCTCAAAAATAAGTAATAAATAAATTTTTAAAAATAGTAAAGAAACAACATATGTGATGATATGATAAAATATTTGAGTTTTACATATGCATGTGCAGGTATAAACACTGTATTTATATATCTATATGGTTTGACTGGATGCCTAGACACAAACTGTACCAACAGACATGTTTAAGTTCAACGTTGGTTTAACCCACTGTAAAGTCCTGTTCTGCATCATGGCATCATTGGACTTCACTTGGCATTGACGCGTCTGTCATAGACCAACTTCTTACATTTTCCTTTTCTTCCTTTGTCATGGACAGTTATAATATGTCTTGTTCTGAATTTAAGTATAAATAATAAAAGCGAATGGGCATTGAAATATTTTGTCATCCTGATAACCGAAATAATTTTCTTTATGTAATTCTCAGAATCAAAAGTTAATTTTTTCAGTACTTGGGATTGATCTGAGACCTTTGCACTGAGCAACATCCCCAGCCCTAGGCCAGGGATATGGCTCAGCGGCACAGCGCCTGCCTGGTTAAGCATGAGGCCCTGGGTTCAATTCCTGGTACCAAAAAATCCCCAGCCCTTTATAAAAAATTTTTATTTTGAGTCAGAGTCTTCCTGAGCCATTAAGTTGCCCAGGCTGAGCTCAAACTTGTGCTCTTCCTGTCTCAGCCTCCCAGAGTATAGGTGTGTGTCACTGTGCTTGGCTAAAAATTTAAAATTCTTATAGGGAACTCAGTTTTGTAATTTGTCCTTGAACATTAGTTTGAGAAATCCTGACCTCATTGCTGCTAAAAAGAATTCTAAAGTAGGTAAATACCTTAGAATTCTAGAAATTAAAATGGTATTATTTTCCCCAGTAGATTTTAAACATTTTTCTCACTCTCTGGCCCGTTACACATACTTGACACCTAGGTACTGAATCAGTGACTGAGTCAAGTTCCCCTGCTTCTCTTACAGCTGGGAAAACCAGCCCCTCAAAGATCACTTCCCTTAATCTCACAGTGCATCTTTGGGCAATGGTGAGAGGATTTTTTTTTACTGTATATCCTCACTTCCTAATTTAT